TAAATTTCATAATAAATTATGAAGTTACAAATTTAATGATTGAAATATACACTATAATAAATGAATACATATGTATATTTTGTATACTAGATGGTCGAAGTGCGCAAGACCGTGATTATCCCTATTATTTAGTTCTTGTTCCCTTAAAATTTTATGTATATGTTTTAGGTTGATGACAAATATCAATATTCTTGTGAAAACAAGGATAACCGGGTCCATGGATGGATCAGCCAGACTCCGCGAATCGGGTTTTGGATGATCACCCCGTCCGACGAGTTCAGAACGGGTGGGCCCGTCAAACAAGACCTTACTTCTCATACCGGCCCAGTAAATCTAAATGTAAGTACCTAATAGCTTATATACGCAAGTTAAAATATGTTCACATCACATCATACCGGCCCAAGTTTATGGGATGTTGTGATATCTTCTTGTTTGGTGACTTGACCAATCAATGTAACAGATGTTCTTTAGTACACATTATGCTGGAGAAGTATTGGGACTAAAGTTTACAACTGGAGAGCCCTGGAAAAAAGTTTTTGGCCCTGTTTTTGTCTACATGAACTCGCTTTCACCTGATGAGCCAGACCCTCTCACTCTATGGACCGATGCAAAAGAACAAATGCTCGTTGAGACTGAAAATTGGCCGTATAATTTCCCTCTCTCGGAGGATTATGCTCGAGCTGATCAACGTGGTATTGTAAGTGGCAGATTGCTCGTTCGAGATAGGTACATTTACCACCCCTTTTATGTTAAAGAAAATGACTGATTTGTTAACAAAAAATTTGGCCATTTTTTGTAGATATGTTAACGAAAGTCCTATGATTGCAAACTCAGCTTTTGTTGGACTGGCTGCTCCAGGAAATGTTGGATCTTGGCAATTAGAAAATAAGGTTAGTTTTTGCAAATTGCTATCTCTATTTTGGGCTATTTTTGCAAATTGTTATTTATTTTAGGTCATTTTTGTGAATTGGTACTTGTTACCTGAATTGCAAAAATAACCATTTTGTATCTTTGTTCTTTAGGCTTATCAATTTTGGACTCAAACAGATAGTGAGGGTTATTTCTTGATCAAGAATATTATTCCAGGGAACTATAGTTTATATGCTTGGGTGCCTGGATTTGTTGGAGATTACATGTACGATCCGTACATTATTGTCACCCCAGGTCGGGAACTACGTCTTACATTCTATGTTTGAATTGACACGAAGTTTAAGAAAAAAATAATTTTTTTTAAAAAAAAACTTGTGGGGTTAAATATGTCTTAAGCTTCTCAATGTTGGTAAATCAAAATGGAGGGAGTAATGTTATATCTACTCTTCCATTTACATCAAATAGTGAGGTGATATCTGAAAGTCCGGTATATTTACATTAGATGCATATCGAATTCTTCAAAAGTAGTGCATTTTTTGGAGAATCTGACACGGTGAGACATCATTTTTGGAGAGTTCCTAGCAACGTAGGTGAAAATTAGAGTTTGTGATGATTTAAATTCAACACTTTCAAAAGATGGGTTCAAATTTAATTAGTACCTAAAAAAAGTCTGCTCGATGCACGAAGCAACTCGTATTCATGTAAGGTCATGGTGGGGCCATACCTAAAGGAGGTCATGATGTAAATTGCTTGTCTGATGCTAGTATCACTAGCTGATTCCACGTCTTAGACTTTACTGTTGCTCCATGATTCCCTTTCTGAGATCTTTGTATCTATTGAAATTTTTATTTATTGGCTATAAGTAATATTAAATTATATATTTTACATATCTAATATGTTTAATTAATAAAACAGGATCAAGAAAAAAGTTAGACACTCTAATATATGATGCTCCAAGAAATGGTCCAACATTGTGGGAAATTGGAATTCCTGATAGAACAGCTGCTGAATTCTTCATCCCTGATGCACAACCAAAACTCTTGAACCAATTATATGTTGTACATAATCAAGAAAGGTTAGAAAAAATCCATTTAGATATCGAATTTTTGTGTCAATTTCATATTGGTTTATCGAGCTGAGGGTCAGAAACAACCCCTCTACCTAACACAAGGTATGTGTAAGGTCTAAGTAGACTCTACTATACTAGATATGTTATTGTTGTTGAGAAATGTAATATGAGGGTCAGAAACATCCACTCTACCTAACACAAGGTATGTGTAAGGTCTACATAGACTATTATACTGAATATGTTATTGTTGTTGAGAAATGTAATCTGAGGGTCGGAAACATCCTCTCTACCTAACACAAGGTATATGTAAGGTCTACGTAAATTATTACACTGGATATGTTATTGTTGTTGAGAAATGTGATTTGTTGGTTTTTTCAGGTATAGGCAATATGGATTATGGGATAGGTATACAGAGATATACCCTGATGATGATTTGGTGTTTACTGTTGGATTTAGTAACTATCAAACAGATTGGTTCTTTGCTCATCTCAATAGATATTTTTACAAGTATGTTCACAACTCCTTTACACCCTTTAATTAGCATCTTTTTATATAATGTAGTTATGTTGTTCGGACTCTCTAAAAATGTTGTCGCACCTGTATATTAGATCCTCCAAATTTGTACGATCTGACATGTAGCCGGTGATATTTTTGTGGAGTCTGAACAACATAGTTTTATTATCATAGATATATTTTACATCTTTACATGCTTTAGCATCTATTATTCTATGTTGCTCATATCCTTCAAAGACGTTGTCGCACCTGTATATTAGATCCTCGAAAAAGGAATATTTTTGTATGATCCATTACGTATCGTACGATATTTTTAAGAGTCTCAAAAACCATTTTTCATAACCAAACACTAGAAAATGACTTTTGTCGTATCAAAAACTCAGTTTATAGAATCTTGATTATGACTTTGGTGATATTTATAGTGATGATGGGAACAAGACTTATGCACCTACAACATGGCAAGTTCTATTTGATCTTGAAGATGTTGATCAATCATCAAACTATACTCTTCAACTAGCATTGGCCTCAGCACATGAAGCTGAATTGCAAGTATGTACAAATAATATTTCTCAATCATTTTATTTATGACTAACAAATAGCCACTTTTTGGTCTTGTGATTGAAAAATAGTCATTGTCATGAAATTCGAAACATCATGACATAGGCTTTTATCGACTTATAATTGCATCTTTTAATTTGTTCCAAACGTTTTAGGTTCGATTCAATGATCCAGAAATCGATGCTCCTCACTATTCGACAGGGTTGATAGGGAAGGATAACGCGATAGCAAGACATGGTATACATGGAATATACAGACTATATACTATAAATGTTCCTGGCTCTCTCCTTAGTTTTGGTACAAATATTTTGTATCTCACACAAAGTAGAGGTGATAGGCCTTTTAGAGGACTCATGTATGATTATATTCGTCTCGAAGGTCCTTCGGATGAAAACAATTAGTTTTGAAGGAATTCATGATTGACTCAAACTTTTAGATGATATTGAATGGCGAAATTTTTGAATTATACAAAAAAAAAAAGGTTGATTTTTATTTTTCAATCTACTAATCTTGAACCGCTCAAATTAAAATGATTATGAAAGTTTTTCGTCGGTCTATTTAGATTATCATGTTTGACTAATTTGAATTATCATCGAATAAGACGACTAAATATTTGAAAGCATACATGTGATACTGAGAAATTTTCATTCACATTATTCAAATTTAAAATCTCTGATTAAATCAACTTTTCGTTGCTTGGAACTAAATTTGTCTAGATTGTATTTTTGGGAACTATATAAAGTATTATATATGTTGGGTAAAGAAAAAAAAGAGAAAAAATTAAGAAAGATAAATTAATAGAACAAATGTTTCCTTGTTTAGTGTAATTATTTTCTTATGATTATTATTCAAAGAAGTAATTGAGTTTTTCTTTGTTCTACGAATTCCTTGCCTTATATATATTCTCACCGTCTCAAATTAGTTGTCATGTTTTATTTATGAAGAATTAAAATTATTTTTACTTTGATTAATATTTGAAATATATTTTCTCATCAAATTAACATAAAAAAAGTTTTATCTTTCATAGTACTTTTATATAATTTTTAAATTTTAATGGTAAAATATTAAGTTGATAATACCACTGTTGTACTTTTTGACATACAAATATGCCCTCACATAAATTGACATATATGGTAAGCTATTTTTGTGCGGTTTTCGTAAAAATAAATTTTAAAAAAAAGTTCAACTTTCCATTTGAGTTTAAAAAATAATTATTAAACTTTCCATATTACCTTAAATTAAATAAGGAGAAATTAAATAAGGAATATGTCCGTAGTGTGACTAAACAATTTGTTAATTATATATATTAAGGACAAGTAAGCTCCTATATATACCCATAGAAATTGTACTTATTTTTTTACTAATTATTTTGTAATTCTTCTCCTTAGAATTTAGAAAATATAACTTCTTGTTTTGCCTCAAGGTTCACAAACTTTTCATTCTCTTTTATTTTCCTCAACATTATTGGGTTTTGTTTAACTTTTAAACTACAATGTATAAATTTTGTATATCATATGAATTAAATAATCAATAGCGAAAATAAAATGTTCAAAACTTTAGTATACATCTTTTAAAAAGTTTTCAATTTATATACATAATATTATTTTCTGTAAGCATAATATAGTTATTCTTGGATTATTCTAGTCATACTTCATACCCTTGATTAAGTTGATTTACAATAATAGGTAATTCTTTATAATGTCACCTGAAAAAATAAATCATGTTTATATAGATGGTTAAAGTGAATAATTCTCTATATTGTCCTTTATTTGGTTTTTTTTGCCACCCGATAATCGGACCTCGTTAGGGTTTTGTTGAGGGTAAAACGATATTTAATAAAAATGATTTCATATTCAATACAGAGCTGAAATTCATATTTTAAAACTATTGTTTTTTTTTTTGCGTGCGCATTGAATGATATACGATAATATTTTTTTGGATATTCTCTAACATTGATGTTTTATTTTCCTATTAATTGCAGTGTTGAAAAATGGGTTTCAAATTGCAAAACAAAATAGTTTTGTATTGCTTTGCTATTATTTTCCAATTTTTCTTGCTTGTCAATGGTTCAAGGGTGCACCATCATGACAATCGGTACGTACTATAAAAAATAATTATAATTAACGATAAAAAATATTTTTCTATTTATTATGTTGTATTACACATAAATTTATTTTTTTAATTTTCTCTTGTAATTAAATTACAGCAATACTTCAGCCAAAGAGAATTCCAAATTGCAACAAGTTTCTCCTCCCGTGACACTAACGGTCACAAGTCGATACGTAAAAAAAAATCTCTTTATTTATTCTTTCTGTTCGATTATTTCACTATTTTATATATTATTTCGATGGTTAAACGATTTTTTTTTTACCTTATGAGTTAATTTTTTTTGTGAATTTATTTTTATCAGGTGGTAATTGATAATGGCATTGTTCAACTTTCTTTAACTAATCCTACTGGTTCTATTTTTGGAGTTAAATATAATGGTATTGATAATCTCCTTGAACCTTTACCAGAAACACAAAGAGGGTAAGTTAATTTTTTTTTTATAATTTTAGATTAATAAATGTGGTAATTAATTAAATTAATTTATTTGATTTATTAATTACAACTCATGCAGATATTGGGATACTATGTGGAATGGTAAATTTGACACGTAAGATTTTAAAATTTTTTTTCTTCTGTTTAATTACATTTTAAAAATTAATTATGTACATTTTTTCTTGATTTTTTTTTTTGTCAGGCTTTTAGCATCAAAATTTAGTGTGATAGCACAAGATGCTAACAAAGTTGAAGTTTCTTTCCAAAAATTATATAATCCTTTGAATGGTAACAATCCTCCTCTAAATATTGACAAAAGGTGAGATTTTATAATATAATATATTGAAATTATATGGAAAAAGAAGGGTCGAGAGCTCGGAGTGACTGTAAAGTTGTCTTCGTGTGACCAGATATCATAATAACACTGAATATTTTGTGCACTAAACTGTCTTGAATTATATGGAAAAATTTTATAAAAATAAATATATAGGTATGTGATGCTACGTGGGAGTTCTGGATTTTATTCGTATGGAATATTTCAACATTTAAAAGGATGGCCAGCTGTAAATTTGGATGAAGCTAGAATTGCTATTAAGCTTAGCAAATCACTGTAAGTTTATTCAAATTTTTTAAATCTAGTTTTCATGTTATGTTATATTAATTTATATAACAATATTTATTATATCAATTAAAAAATACTCGAACAAACGTTGTTGTTATATGAAGAGGTTTAACTATACTTTGAAATATTGAGGATTGTCTCTTCATAACAATCTTTTGTAACAATTTCATTATAACGATTAACGTTTTTAAAAACGTTACATTATCATAAATGATTTTACAAACAATTTTTATTTATTCTAATTTTTATTATAAGGTTTCATTTTATGGCAATATCAGACGATAGACAAAGAATAATGCCAACAGAAGAGGATCGTGCAAGTGGTCAAACACTAGATTATAGAGAAGCTGTTAAAATTACAAATCCGTCCAACCCTAGACTCAAAAATGAGGTGACAATATTTTATCGAGTTTAAGTTTTGTGCACTTATAATATAAAATGTTCGAAAAAGTCATTTTCTCTGTCAAGTCTGATATGATAAAGTTTTATATGAAAAGTTTTTTATATAATTAATAAAACACAAGTTAATAAAATATTCAAAATATAGTCTTTATTTTGTGTCACAAAATTATGTATGAATAGCATTTTATACTATCAATGTATACAAATTAACAAAATTTTTGAAATATAGTCTCTATTTTGTGTCAATTCTGATATGATAATGTTTTATATGAATAGCGTTATTTTTAAACTGTCAATATATATAAGTTAAATGTTTCGCTAATTTTTTAAGTAATTTTTAAAAATCTTTTAGGTTGATGACAAGTACCAATATACAGATGAGATTAGAAATATTAAAGTTCATGGGTGGATAAGTGATAATCCACACATGGGGTTTTGGGTAATTTCACCAAGTTATGAATATTGTAATGGTGGACCTATGAAGCAAGATCTTACCTCTCATGTTGGTCCAACATCTATGGCTGTAAGTATATATATCTTTTTATCTATAATTATCTTATATATATAATGATAAAAATGTGTTTAAATTGTATACATCGATCGTATATCAAGTTTTATATTGTAAATATTTATACTAGTTCCACTAAAAAGGAGTGAACATTCTTGTCGAAAATATAAAACTTATATACAATGACAGTATAATAATCTTTTACTTTGTCAACGTTCGTATTATAGAAATATGAAACTTTGCTTTGTGATATGCTATAGTTATTATAATAATTAATGAATAGAAGTTAAACTCTATGAAAAGAGATATGCATATTTATTATTACTTAAAAGGAGTGAGTTTTCAAGTTTCGATCAATAGTCCTCTCAGAAATATGAGATTTTCGATGAAAGATCTGTTAAAAAAACATTTTGTAAATTAAATTAAAAATATTTAGAAATATTTGATAAATTTACTCTTTTTTTTCTACAGATATTTTTCAGTGGGCATTATGCTGGGCCACAATTAGGAGTTTCATTAACAAATGGAGAAGCATGGACTAAAGTTTTTGGGCCTGTATTTTTCTATGTTAATTCAGATTCTTCCAATGATCATACCATACTTTGGGAAGATGCTAAAAGACAGGTAATTAATTAATTTAAAAAGAAAACTTTCACATACAACCACTTAAAAATAATTAACTATTCTATATTGCTATAATTTGATAATTACAATTTGTAGCTACATGTTATTTGGAGGAGAGAGGTGAGCGAGACTGGGAGTGAGAGGGGGAAAAGAGTGGGAGAAAGGTGAATTGTATATGTATATTAGTTAGATAATTGTGTATTATACATATATAATTGTATATATGGCAAGAGAAATTGGGAGAGGAAGGAGAGAGTCGAGCGATACTGGGAGAGGGTGGGAGAGAGGTGAATTGTATATGTATATAGGCTAAAAAACTGTATATTATACATATTTATTTGTATATCCTGACGAATTATACATATACAAACATGACTAATTATACAAACTAGAATTCAGACCACGTAATTAATGTATAATGTTAGTCACGAGTGGTAATTATAGCAAACTATAGCTATGATGAGTAATTAAATAGTATAAGTTTGCTTATCCGTGTAATTTTCTCTTAATTAATTAATAATTTTTAAGTTTACTTAATTAATCTTTTTTAAAAAATAATTAAATTCTATGTATGAAAACTAATAATTTGTTAATTTTTGCAGATGAATGAAGAAACAAATAAATGGCCTTATGACTTTCCTGCATCAAAATATTATCTTCATGCAAATCAGCGTGGCTCAGTTAGTGGTCAATTAATGGTTCATGACTGGTAATTATTTTTTTTAAAATTCTTAGTTATCATATAATTAGTGAATAACTTAACTAAAAAAAAGTTTAACGTGTATATACTAACAATATAAAGAACGAGTTGAGAAAATACCCTTTTAACTTATTAGATTTTGACTTATATTTGTTACTCGTTTGTCTGGCGTCTAGCTCATAGAATCTCGCATTATCTTTGATCTCAAATTTAAAGTTCCAAATATGCCCTTTATACTAACTGTGGAGGTCGCGGAAGAGTATGTATATTTGGATTTGCATGTTTCAAATTATTGTATTTGTACGTACGTTTTGTTATATTATCAGTGTATATAAGTTAATTAGATTATTTATAACTAATAATAAAAAAATTCTTTTTAGGTATATAAATGTAGATGTTTTTCCTGCATTAAATGCATATATTGGACTTGCTGAGCCTGGACTTGTTGGATCTTGGCAAAGTGAAACCAAGGTAATATAATGTAATTTATTTAATTATTTTGTCTATAATTCATTTTATTATATAGTGACCTGAATATATTGTTACATTTTTGATTAATTATGTTGTTTTATTTATTTATTATTATTGACAGGGTTATCAATTTTGGACTCAAACTGATGATTCTGGTAATTTCAAAATTAAAAATGTTAGACCTGGAATTTATGGTGTATATTCTTGGGTCCCTGGAGTTATGGGAGATTACAAATTCTCTTCTTATATAACCGTTACGCAAGGTATTTTATCTGTTTCACTTTATGTGACACGTATATACGTTTTTTATTATAGTATAATAAAATTTCTAACTTATATAATTTATTCTTTTGTAGGAAAGGTCACAAACTTAGGTCAAATTATATTTGAAGTTCCAAGAAATGGTCCACCACTATGGGAAATTGGATTTCCAGATAGAACTGCTAATGAATTTTTTATACCTGATCCATTGCCTGGTCTTCAAAATTATTTGTACACTAACACTACTATACATAAGTAAGTATTACGAGTTTGATCAGTCACTGATATTTTCGTTACGTAAATTGTTTATATCTATTTAAAGTGAATTGGGACATGTTTTGTGTATCGAACTGTCTTTTTTTCTAACTTGATTATATTTGCTAATTACAGGTTTAGACAATATGGTTTATGGAATCGTTACACTGATTTATACCCTAATGGAGATTTAGTGTACAAAGTTGGTGTTAGTGATTTTAGAAAAGATTGGTTTTTTGCTCATGTAAATAGGTAATTATTTATAATATTCAATAATTACTTATAATATTTTTTATATTTTAATTTTTTTAAAATATTATTTGCAGGAGAAATAAGGACAAGAGTTTTTCAGCAACAACATGGCAAATTGTGTTTGATGTTAAAAATGTGGATTCTAGTGGAACTTATCATCTTCATATAGCTTTGGCTTCTGCATCTTATGCTCATTTACTAGTATGGAATCTTCATCTCTACTCTCAATACTCAACATATTTTAGTTTATAAAATTCATGAAGAAAAAAATAATATAAAAATATCGATCGTGTTTGAAGTATCAATAACTGATTAGCGACCAAAAATTTATAGTATTTCTAGTCGCTAGTTAGTTATTGACTTAATTCTGATTTTGATTCTTATGATATATGACTCAACACATTTAACTTTTAATTAGTTAAAATGTTTGTTATATTTGGTTTATTTTTATATAGGAAGTATATTATATTTGGACTACTTTTACATGTACATATTACCCTCATAAATGGTATAAAAGTTAATAATTCTGAAAATTTGTGAATATTAAGGGAAAGGTAAAAAATGCACATTTCAAAGTAATTAATTATGTATTGCCAAAAATATAATTCAAATTTACTAACAATAGAAGGAACAAAAATTTTATTTACCCTTACATATAGCTTTGTGTTACACGTATTTGAAAAATAATATACATCGATAAAAATCTTATTTTAATTATCGTTTTAACTTTTTATTGAATTTTTTTTTATAGGTGTGGATAAATACTCCATCAAAACCAAGACCATGGTTTGATAGTTCACCAATTGGGATGAGTAATGCAATAGCAAGACATGGAATTCATGGATTATATATGACTTTAGATATCGAATTTCCAGGGACACAACTTCATATTGGTGAAAATATAATATATTTGAAGCAAGCATCAGTTTATGGCCCTTTTACTGGACTCATGTATGATTATATTCGTCTCGAAGGACCATCAACAAAATAAAAAAAATGAATTATATTTAATTTTGTAGATAGTCATTTTTTTAGTTTTCATAGTCAATTTTTTTTAATAGAATGAATAATTTTCTTGAGAATAATGTGTTTATCATCAATATCATATATTCTAATAAAATTTTCTTTTCTTTCATATTGGTGTTTTGTTTTCGTTTGTTTATTTGTTTTTTGTCTTACATTTAATTTATTATATCTATTATTAATAGCTAGCCATTGTCTTATACTAGCTTGCTCGGTTCTTGAAGACATTGTTAATATGATCATAGATAGAAAAATCTGAATGTTGAAAATTATGATAGAAGATTGTCGAATGTTGACAATTATGAACCTCAACAAAGAAATGAAATACGTATGAATAAGAAGATTTAAAAGAAAAATAATACATTTTCTTTAACCTATTTTAATTAACACTAAATCTATACTATTAATCGATAATAAATATATAGATCAATTCAATATCAATTTTAATATAAAAAAAATAATAGCTTAACTAGATAAATGGAATAGAGTTAATCTCATGAAATATCATATAATTATAATATAGTTTTAAAACATTTTAACTATCAACTCTGGATTTTACTATCTTCACCCTTGAGCCGCCATTGAATCGACACATATATTTTATTTTTATGTTAGGCTTTTCTTTTAAAAAAAATATTTTTTACTATTTAAAGAATGACATTACCTGGTGATTTGATGTTCTTTTTATTGTTTAATGTGATTATTTAAAGCAATATTGTTATATTCTAAAATATTTGACAAAATTGATTCCGTCGAATGACGTGTGGGATTACCTATCAAGAATAAGAATATCAAATAAAATAATTAATGAATTTATTGGATCTTTTTAATACATTTAATACAACAAAAATCTGAATAATCAGATCACATATACCAAATTTTGTAATTTTTTTTTATATTTATATGTATTATATAATTAATAAAGATATTATGTTTAATTGGTAGGGTCGATGATCCATTTATTGTCAACCATACTATTTATAGTAGTATGGAAAATGATATATATATATATATGTTTATTTTTGGAATATATGTTGAAGTCAATAAATTACTACGCGAGAGTTGCAAGTTTTTTTTTTAAACTATAAATATAACAAGTTACAAGTTTTTACATGTCAATTTGATATAAAAATACTATATATTAAAAATGAAATATAACCAACTGATATTAGAAAGAGAAGAGCACTAATATTTACAGTAATATTACAAAATACAAATGTACTATTTGCAAAAAATTCTCTTTTTTTAAAAAAATAATAAATAAATAATTTTGCACCTCACATAATATATATTTTTTCGTTTATAAACTAATGATTTAATGTGACTTGACATGAAGTTTAAGAAAATAAAATATTTTTTTTTCATTTTGTGGTCTTAAATTAAAATTATAATAGTAAATGTTATTTAATTTTATAGCTTTAAGTATATCACGTGAAAAATTGAAGTTAAATTATTTTCTATAAAGAAAAAGACTCGTTCTTTTTAATTCAGACTAAAACTATTAAAATGTTGTAAAGAAAGCTCAGAATATAAGAAGAAAAAGACAAGAAGTATAAGATAGAGGAGAGAATTTTTTTTATTCAAGTGTATCTTCCAAATGGTGTGTTTCTGAAATTTCGAGCATAAGTTGGGAGAATACTTGTACATTTTTCCTTAGTATTTTGATAGGACTTTAATTTGATCAAAATATCAAATTCTTATTATTTTTGAAACTTGTGAATATTCAAAAGCAAATAAAATATTACGATAGAGGGTGAGATCGGGTTGAGTTGGGTGAGAAAAATATAATCTAGATAAAATGTTATTTATGAAATTTGTATTTATTTATAATATTGTGTTAGAAATTTGTTCTCCTAATTATTGATGATTGTGCAAAAAAATATTTTTTAAAAATATTTGATCAATCAAATATAAAAAAATTAGAAATTATTATTCTCTCGCGCCAAATACACAAAAATTTATTATTATTATTTCCAAATTATTGTTCACCATCTTTTCTGATGGCTACACTGGAAAGGTAATCACCAACCATATATCCCAATTAATTATTGTGGAACAAAACTAAAGTGATGCAATTATCATTTTCGAGAGCTAAATTCTTAACTACAAAATCTTTTTCAAATTATTGTGTTTTTCACTTATTAAATTATAGCAGTCGACGTGATATTTAGAGCCTGTTTGGCTCA